TGACTTACCGCATCAGCAACCCTCTGGACTCTCTGGAGAGGACTCAGGTGGTTCACCATGACAGGCTGAAACGTTATACTTTACCAGTGCCTACAGGGACTGTTCCCCTCCTACCCTTAAAGTATCTCCTCTTTTGGGGGTTTCGCCACTCCCGTTGTCGCCACAAATGGTTGAGCAACAATTGGCTGGGGGTGTGGACATCAGTCTGTATGGGGAGTTTTCAGGGCCTGAACGCAGGGGGCGTGTCCTGCGACCACCTTCACGTCTTCAGGATTTTGTGAGGTTCCGAGTTTGATGCTTGGTGTTTGTTTCCCTCTTTCTGGGATCTTTTTTTTTTTATGTATTTTTGCTGTTCAAGTACATTTGGGTGACAACTGTGATACAGAGGTTTTTTTTTCATGCTCAGGTTAAATTCTGCTAGGGGACTGTTTTGAGAGGTTTCCTGTTGTCTCATGGGTGCCTGTGCCAATGTTTTATGTGAAACGTGGACATTTCAAGTTTAGGGGGGGACGTATGTCACAGATTGTGACAGATTGTTGTGTTTGTTATATGTACTGTATATGAGGTGAGGTGTCCCGAGAGAGTTACCGTAGCTGCCATAAAGCAGTTGTTATTGTTGTTATCCTGTTACACTGGTACACAGGTGTGTGTGTGTAATAAAGTGGAAGCCGTGGATAAAGAAGCTCCCCGCCTATGTGCCGTTTATTGTTTTCTTATTAAGTGTATCCGGTCCAACGAACCCAGAAAGCTCGGTTACAGAGGTAAGAGAAAAGCTTTGTGAATACGGGTCCTGATCTAGGACTAAAAAACAGGTGTCAGAATAGCTGCCGAAATTAGCAAGAATTCAACTGGCTGTCTAGTTCACACACTCTGGTCAAACTGTTAGCTAATATTACTCATTACCAGCTGACTGGACACAATATTCCCCAACATACAGAAATCAAATGATGAGATGACTTACTGTATTAATACCATATGGTCCTCTTCTCCATAGACTGTAAATATAACGGTCCTCTCCCACGTCGATCAGTCTGTACTTCAGCGAGCATCTGAATCAAAGTGCGAGCGTCTTCTTTGTAACCAGAATGTAGCGTTGTTGTAGCGGGAATATCTAAATCTTACCCGGATACAGCAATGCTATTTATTGATTGGTTGTTGGGGTAGCTATATATATATTCTTTTTTTGATTAACTGGTGCGTGGCAAGCTCCTTCTGATCTCTATGGGAAACCCACTTGATTCATATCTGTTCCACTATTTAAAAAAATGGGTTAGGGTTAGGCGTTAAGGCGTATCCTGGTAATTTATGCGTGAGAAATACAAGGTGTGGCGTGTGAGCGTGTGAACAGGTTGAAATGTGTGTCTCTCACTCCCAATGCGTGAGATTCAGAGCATTGAAGGTTGTCAGTTTTGATGCGCTTTGGCGCCATCAGGAGGTCTCTGAGTGCAACTGCAGTGTCATAAAAACGGTCACGCCTCCCCCTCTGACACCACGTGCATTTGTTGACAAACAAAGGGTGAGGAAGCCGGCAGAGACGCTGTGAGAAGATGAGGAACCGCGCAGACTCAAAAGGTACAGTAATATTACTAGATTTTGATGGAGCCTGAGTGTCTGCAGCCCGTTGTCTAGTTTGTTTATTCAACTGTTACCATGACAACTATAGGTCGTGGATAAATGGCTACATATATCGGTTTGTAAGGTTACAAACAATTTGGAGACAAAAGTAAAGCTGCTAAACGTGAGACAATGATGACGTCACTGGTAATGATGCAGCTCGGAGTGACTATGGGGTTTCCTATTGCGCGAGATGCTAGCTTAACATTCAGTACATTAGACGTTAACATTCACGACTAATGAATAACTTTATGAATATTATTCAAAACTCCGCAGAACTGATACGGGATGAATCGAATATGATCAGTAACTGAAAACCACAGTTTGATTACATCTAAACAACTAAAAAAATACTTTAAAATGTGTTTATCGACGGAGTGTGAATCATCATTAACCTTCCTCCGACCAAGCTGTCAACGGCTCTGACCACATTCCTGACGTCATCACTCACACTGTGGTAATTCTAGAGTCTCTTGGGGATTATTCCTCTTCATTTTACTTTGTTGACTTTCAGAAACAAATTTTGGTTTTCAAAGCAATAGTGGATGTGACACTTAGCAGGGCAACAACAGTGAGTGCTGTCAGATGGGGCCCCCTTAGGGAGGTTTCCTACTGTCATTTTGGGGCACTGCTTTGGTTTACATTTGTGAGCCCTGAGGGGCCCCTACTGGTCTGGGGCCCCAAGCAGTTGGGGCACACACACACAGACTCCAAAATAAACAGGCAGGAGAATAATGTATAACTCAAAAGAAGATATAAAATGAAAAACAAGTGTTTTGGGGAAAGTCTTATGCTGTCAATATCAACCTGTTACACTGACAGAGTATGAGGTTTTTGTTTTTCAACATCGGTTTTCCTTTTATTCCAGGATTCAGCCCAAAACTTCAATTCACCATCAATGATCGCTTATGATCTGACAAGGCTTAAATTTCTAGCTCCGTCCTCCCGATAGTTTAGAACTGAAGAAGGTGAAACCACTGAAACAAAAAACTTCAAGACGATTTCTTGGTGTGCACACTGTTCATTTATTGGTATGAATTAAACACATGCTTAAACACAGCTTGAGCAAACATTAGCATCTTAACATATAATTTTCAGGTCACAGAAAATACATTTTCACATGAACAATGAGGACTTTAAATTTCTGAAGCGAAGCACATTCTTATAAAATCCATTAATTCTAAAAACTGAAAATACAGCATTGAAAAAACACATCAGAAGCAAAATACATGATAATGACGATTCACACATTTCTTCATTAAGTATTCACCATGACAACTGTGTATTTACAAAGGACGTCACACCTAACAGGAGCTATGGTGTAAGAATTAAAGGTCACATATCCTCCTCCTCTTCAACCAGTTTAAATAAGTCTCAGAGCTTCTGAAAACATGTGTGAAGTTTCTTGTTCTAAATCCACTCTGATCCTGTATTTGATCATGCCTATAAACCCCTCTATTTCAGCCCTGCTCAGAACAGGCTGTTTCTGTGTCTGTAGCTTTAAATATATAAATGAGCTGTGTCTGACCACGCCCCCTCTCTGGAAGGGCTTAGGTGTACTCCAGTCTTTCTCGCTCCATGTCCTATTGTTTACGGTGAGAAGGCAGACTGAGAGGGCAGAACAAACACCCAGCTGTGGGAGTGTCACCCACCTGGGGGAGGGGCTACTGCCCTTTGTGATGTCATGAAGGGACCTCCGTCCTGAATTAGTAAGTCGTTCCCAACTCTCTCTCTGTCTTTCTCTCTCCTCTGTTTCTAACTCTATCCACTGTCCTATCTCTAAATAAATGAATAAAAGCCCAAAAATAAAAATAACTAATAAAATAATAAAATTAAACCTTCCTTTATTTTATTTTAAGTAGTTTTGAATGGCAAGAAATTCGTTTTTAGTTAGTTTTTATCCTTATTTTTTGGACGCCCTGGCAGAATTGGCCCCCTCCTGTTTTTCATTCTTCTTCAGGATTCTGTTGCTCTTTATTACCACGTGAAAGCAATACGCCTTCATAGAAATTAGATGTTTTCTTTTGCTTGGACTAAATTGTTCCCCATAAATTTGCCTCCCTATCTTTACTGCCTCGGCTCTTGCAGGTTTCTGAGAAACTCCTCAATTTCTCTGTCTTAAATAAAATGTATTATTATTATTTTACCCCAGACAAACAAAAAGTCACAAAAGCCTCAAAGTGAGAAAAGTAAACTTATGAAACACTAAAATAATGAAGCTAAAGGGGAAGAAAAAGACGAATAGGAAAGGGTTTGGAATTAATAAATTAGAAACATGTAAACATTCATATGCAAGTCAGATACTCACCTCATCTTTCTACTGTTTCTTCCTCTCAGTCGTTTTCTGAAGATGACTTAGTCGAGCAGATGTTTCCTCTTGATGTTGCTCTCTGGTTACAGTCGCTCCAGGTTCAGCTCTCTAGTGTGGATGACGTGATGTGCAGTAGCAGCAGCTTTAAATGTCCGAGATAGAGGCGTGACACTTTCCTTATCAGCAGGATGTTATGTGACTTTCCTTTCCTGAATTAGCAAGTCGTTCCCAACTCTCTCCCTCTCTCTCCCCTGTTTCTAACTCTATCCACTGTCCTATCTCTAAATAAATGAATGAAAGCCCAAAAATAAAAATAGCTAATAAAATAATAAAAGTAAACCTTCCTTTAATTTATTTCAAATAGTTTTGAATGGCAAGAAATTCGTTTTTAGTTAGTTTTTATCCTTATTTTTTGGACGCCCTGGCAGAATTGCCCCCCTCCTGTTTTTCATTCTTCTTCAGGATTCTGTTGCTCTTTATTACCACGTGAAAGCAAAATGCCTTTGTAGAAATTAGTTGTTGTTTTTTTTGCTTGGACTAAATTGTTCCCCCTAAATTTGCCTCCCTATCTTTACTGCCTCGGCTCTTGCAGATTTCTGAGAAACTCCTCTATTTCTCTGTCTTTATTCTTCTCCAGGGTTCTGATGCTTTTCTTACGGAAGGAAGATTTTTCTGGTATTGCTGCTGCCTTCATGTGATACTGTGTCGACCTGTGGGAGTCATATAGATTAAAGTATAAATGATTTGCATATATGTTGTAAAGCATCTGTTTGTCTTCAGGTTCTGCAGGTTCATTTTTGAGCAGTTTCTGAAATATCTGCTCAGCTTTGGCCTTGCTGTGATGTGACTTTGCATAGATAGTTGCGAGGTCTATTTCCCTTTTGAGTGAAGAGTGAGGGTAAAGAGAGAGCAGCTCCTCGTGGAGAGCGATTGCTGTGTCCACCATGCTTTGTTCTTGATCAGGGTAATCTCTCCTTTTATAAACGATCCTCCATCTGTAGCAGAGTGCAACAAATTTCTTCAGATAACGCACATCTGGATGTTCTTTCAGAACTTTCTCTGCCAAATCAACGGCCTCATCAACAGATATGTGTTCTATGTGAAGGTTTAGTAAGGCCCACATGCCACTGTTACTGCAACACAGAGTGCTCACATTTCCAGCCAACTCACGGACTTCATCTCGAATGTTTTCTCCTTCATCAGCACGTTGTTCAAGGTAGAGCGCAGCGAGGCACAAGTTCTCTGGATCCCGTTCCTTGGCTTGTCTCATTTTCTCCAAGAGGTCAGGGTCCAGCCTTGTGTCACTGAAGTTTTGGGCCTTCTTTAACCATATGACATAGCTGGTGTTCCAATCCACCATGTCCGGCTGCATCCTGGCAGCTTTCTCGTAGTAATCAACAACCAGAATCATGTCCTCTCCGAAGAACATCAGGGTCCAGGCCTTTTCAGCGTAGATCTCTGGATGGAGGTCGTCCTGGGATGGAGATGGGTATTTTTCCATCAGGGCATCAACCTTTGACAGGTAAGCCTGACTCTCCTCTAGATCTCCCAGGTGGTGGTGCAGCCAGGCCAGGTTCCCGTAGTTCACCACTAACCAAGGACCCTCATCTGCATCTCTCAGCTTGTTGAGGGTCTCTGCAGCCTTCTGAAACAAGTTCCTCGCCTCTTCATTTAACCCCAGTTTATACTGAATGAACCCCCACAGGTTGTAAATGTGGCCCAGCCATCTATTTCCCTTCTCTTTGCTGAAGTCCTCCATCTTGTGCGTGAGACGTAAAAGTTTCGGCCTGCTGCGGTCCAGGTCCCAGGTGAAGTGGCACTGCAGGGACTCCAGTGTGGTTTGACTCTGAGCAGCACTGATGGAGAATACAAAAACAAACATTTAAACACATCCGCAGCTAGTTTTGACTCTTGTGTTCTTATTTGTTATGTCTCGTCTCGCAGTGTCTCCTCTACTCTTCTAAACTGTCAATCACTTTTATTACCCTATTATATAGTCAGACAATCAAGTAAACTTCTCAGATAAATAAAAAACAGACTAAATTATTTGGTGGACATCACTGCATGGGCTCAGGAACACTTCCAGGAGACATAGTCTGTGAACACGTTAGCTGAAACTCTACCATGTGTAGGGTTGCCACCTTCCAAGCAGAAAAACAAGGGACACCCCGCAGCGGGGTGCAACTCAGTAGGGGCCTCACTGGCCCAACGGTGGGGTGGGGCACCAGTTGTGGTGAATCATGATTTAAAACGAGGTTTTAATGAAGTAATAAGAGTCATACTTTAAGTTTTAAGTGCTTTATGAACACATTTTTTTTCTGAAATAATTTACAAAAACGCAAAACTTCAATGTAAAGGCAGATACAGTAATGTATGCACAATGAAATGCACCTAACACGACTTCAGCAAATGATTACTATTAGCTATCTAATTTACAACTTAACTTAAACTTCAAATAAAGTTATTAACTTAACATTAATTCATTAACAGAGTATTATTGAAGTGCTTTTGACACTGCTGTAACATAGAGGGGAGCAGTAAGATAACAGATTTTGAATTAAATAAACAGTACGAATTTAATAGTATTTTCATTCATTTATTCTGTCCTCCTGTCTTTCGTTTTTGTTGTTTTCTTATGAAATCATGAATGATACTATTAATATGGTTTTGAACTATTTTCTTATTGTATTAATTAAGTGTCTACTGTCGATATATCGATGTTGTATTGATGATATCTCGCCCAGGACAAACTGTGAATACAGATTTGGCTAAAATAAATGTCATCTTTTTGTTTTACGTACCGAAAAATATTCACACTATCCAAACTATACTGGAATAACCTATTTATAAACATGGGAGAAAATATATTAAGTAGGCCTACAATAGTTTCCTTTACATTATATTCATTTTCACTGACACTGTCAAGCCAGGCATTACTTTCTACTCACGTCTGTATTTCTGCATCCGTTTACGTTTCAATGGTGCACGGTGCGGGAATCAGAGACACCTGCAGACATGTTTCCTTCTGACTCCTATGACTTTCTCTCACCCAATCACTGACAAGCTCTCATTGCTCATGCCAAAAAAGAACCAAACAAACCAACGGACACTCCGAGGAGGCGGGAACTAGCCGGCTGAATGATGCTGAGTTCAAAGCATCTTGGAAATACGGGACAAACTGCGTCCCGTATTGATTCAAAACGGGACGCAATATCAAAGTGTAAAATACGGGACGATTCCGTATTTTACGGGACGGGTGGCAAACCTAACCATGTGTCATGATTTGGTTTTGTATTTGAGTTTCCCTGTTTTATCCCAGTGTTGCTTGTTTCCCTTGTGTGTTAATGTTCCCTAGTGTTGCTGGTTTTTCCCTCCTAGTTTTCCCTTCAGTGTTTTCTGTTTTATTTTGTCATTTATTATCCTTGTGTATCTCTGTGTTCTAGTGTGTTTTGTTAGATTCTTGAGTTCTGTGTGTCTTTAGTGTTTCATGATTTAGTTTGTAGTTGTCCTCAGTGTTTCTTGTATTCCTGCCTCTGTGTGTTTCCCAGTGTGTTTGCCCTGATTGTCTTCACCTGTGTCGTTAGTCTCACCTGTGTCTGATTACCCCATGTCTATTTAGTCTCTGTGTTTCTTCCCTTCTGTGGCAGTTCATTGTATGTGTTTGTTGGTGCGTATGATATGTCTGTGTCCCGGTGGCTCCCTGTTTTTGAGCCCTGTGTTTTTGTTGAACTTGTTGAAGTAAGTTTTTGTTTGGCTTTTTGTTAAAATAAATAGTTTAGTAAATTCTGCACTTGGGTCCACACCTCCTTGTTTTTCAATTGTGACACCATGCAAAGAGCAAGCTGTATATAAACCAGATCCAGAAACATTGCTGGCTTTCCTTGGGCCTGAGGTTGTTTAAAATGGACTAAGTGAAAGTGGAACACTGTCCTGAGGTCTGACAATTCACAATTTGAAATCTTTTTAGAAAGAATGGACGCTGCATCCTCCGGAGCTAAATAGGAGAGGGACCATCTGGCTTGTTATCAGCGCTCAGATAAAAAAACAGCACCTGTGATGGTATGGGGGTGCATGGGTAAACTGCACATCTGTCAAGGCTCCGTTAATGCTGAACCATACATAAAGGTTTTGGAGCAACATATGCTGCCAAATAGAAAACCTCTTTTCTGGGAAGGCATCCTATTATACAGACTAGAACATTTACTTGGAATTACAGGGACTGCTTTAAGTTGGTTTGAATCCTACTTATCAGACCGATCTCAGTTTGTACATGTTAATGATAAGTCTTCTATGCACACCAAAGTTAGCCATGGAGTGCCACAAGGTTCAGTGCTTGGACCAATTCTCTTTACATTATATATGCTTCCTCTGGGAAATATTATGAGGAAACACTCCATACAGTTTCATTGTTATGCAGATGATACTCAGCTTTATGTATCAATGAAGCCCGGTGGCACCAGTCAGTTATGTAAGCTAGAAACGTGCCTTAAGGACGTTAGGACCTGGATGACCAGAAATGTTTTGCTACTTAACTCAGACAAGACTGAAGTTATTGTGCTAGGCCCTAAAAACCTCAGAGAGACTTTTTCTAGTGATGTGACTGTCCTTAATGACATCAGCCTGGCATCTAGCACCACTGTTAGGAATCTAGGAGTTCTATTTGATCAAGATATGTCCTTTAGCTCTCACATCAGGCAAATTTCAAGAACAGCCTATTTTCACCTTCGTAATATATCCAAGATCAGGAATATCCTGTCGCAAAATGATGCAGAAAAACTAGTTCATGAATTTGTTACCTCCAGATTGGATTATTATAATTCTCTTTTGTCAGGGTGCTATGGTGGATCTCTAAAGACTCTTCAACTAGCCCAGAACGCTGCAGCTCGTGTACTGACTAGAACTAGGAAAAGGGACCACATTACTCCTGTGTTGACTTCTCTGCACTGGCTCCCCATACAGTCTAGAATAGAGTTCAAGATCCTTCTTCTCACTTACAAAGCTCTAAATGGCCAGGCACCATCTTATCTTAAGGAGCTACTAGTGCCGTACTGCCCCTCAAGAACATTACGGTCCCAGAATGCAGGCCTGCTAAGAGTTGTATAGGTTTTGTTTGTTTGGAAAAAGCAACAGTTCAAAGATTTTTGGGTTTGACAAAAAGTCTCTAAGTGTACTATAGGAGGTAAAGCCTTCAGTTATCAGGCTCCTCTCCTCTGGAATCGTCTTCCAGCCGGGGTCCGGGTGGCAGACACAGTCTGTATTTTTAAGAATAGACTTAAAAGTTTCCTTTTTGATAAATGTTATAGTTAGGGCTGGTGTAGACCAGCTCCTAGTTATGCTGCTATAGGCTTAGACTACCGGGGGAACTGGCACCTTGAGCTCTCATCTCTCTCTCTCTCTCTCTCTCTCTCTCTCTCTTTCTCTCTCTGTCTGTGCATATACAGTACATCATATGTATGCATGTATCTATCTGTAAATCTCAGTCACTAACCACCTACTTTCCTGGGAGCTCTTGATCTCTCTTAGGCTCCTCGAGATCGTTGGTTGACGGCCTGCCAGAACAACCCCCCCCCCCCCCTCCTCACCGGATTGTTGATGGACCCGCTTGCTCCCTATCCCTCTTCCTGCATCTTATCCCATCTCTCCTCCTATCCCCTTCCAAGCCCGGCGCAGTCTAGGCCTGTGAAGGCTGTTTCGTCATGAGCCGGGGATCCGGCCGAAGATTTCTGCCTTTTAATAAGGCAGCTTTTTCTTACCACTGTAACTTTTGCTGCTTTGCTAAAGTGCTCATGATGGATAGGCCGGGTCTTTGTAATGTAGCAATAAGTAACGTCTTTTTACCTGCTGTTTGTAACATAACAATGAGTAAGGTCTTTTTACCTGCTTTTTGTAAAGTGTCTCGAGATAACACTTGTTATGAGTTGACACTATACAAATAAAAATAGATTATTTGATGGGTTGATTGATTCTTTGGTTAGTATTATGTATCCGTTTTGCCCCCTCCCCTCTGCCCTTTTGTACAATTCCCAGTGGGAGAGGTGGGTGTCCATTGTTTTGCCTAAGTGAGAGAAACAATTAAATAAGTCATCACAGAATAAATTGTTTTTCCAAGTCTAGAAGACAAACAGTTTAATGACGTGGTTAATCTCTTATGTTGCAAAAACAACTACAAAACATTTGACGATCAGTCGACAATGTAAATCCGTTGGGGGAACAGGCCTACTGCAGAGTGGTAAACATGACCCTGTCACAATTTTTTTAAATGTGTTACTGGCATTAAATATAAAATGGGCACATCATACTTTTCCAAAAAACATTGAAATGTCTCAGTTTCAACAGTTGTCTATGTGTTATTTTCAATTAATCCATTTTTATCTTATCATTTTACACAGCGTCCGACTTCTATTGAACCAGTGGGGTTGTTTGTTTTTAACATGTACTTCCTGTGCAGAGGTTTACGCAGAGGCCTCTGGTAAACAGGATATGGGCTTGGTGCGATCTGAACAGCGATATTTCAGCAACTTTCGCAGTTTTATTTTAACACATAAGCACAATACATTTTCCATTACACATTCCACCTCTTCAATAAAAACCCCCAGAAAAATCAGTCGTAATGATGATTACTTAAAAGGAAACACAAATTAAAATCATCCCTCACCCTGCACACTCAAAAAGACCACAGCATAACCTCAATCTGGCCTTTGAATACTCGCTCAACAATAAAAGCCTCATTCTCCATGACTTCATAACCGACACCAATAATGGACACCCTTTTTCTCACCGAAACCTGGCATAAAGCCATAGACCGTCACCACCATCCTCAAGAAACCTGGACTCAAAACCGACTGTGTTCTGTTTATCTGTCGCTGCACCTTCATGTTGTTTTATTTATGATTTGTGTGTAATGTTGTAATGTCTGTTAGTCTGTCCTTACTGTTCTGATCCTTCTGTCTTTTTAACAAATGTACAGTGTCTTGAAATTGAAACTTATAAATAAATATTATTTTACCCCAGACAAACAAAAAGTCACAAAAGCCTCAAAGTGAGAAAAGTAAACTTATGAAACACTAAAATAATGAAGCTAAAGGGGAAGAAAAAGACGAATAGGAAAGGGTTTGGAATTAATAAATTAAAAACATGTAAACATTCGTATGCAAGTCAGATACTCACCTCATCTTTCTACTGTTTCTTCCTCTCAGTCGTTTTCTGAAGATGACTTAGTCGAGCAGATGTTTCCTCTCGATGTTGCTCTCTGGTTACAGTTGCTCCAGGTTCAGCTCTCTAGTCTGGATGATGTGATGATGCAGTAGCAGCAGCTTTAAATGTCCGAGATAGAGGCGTGACACTTTCCTTATCAGCAGGATGTTATGTGACTTTTCTTTCCTGAATTAGTAAGTCGTTCCCAACTCTCTCCCTCTCTCTCCCGTTTCTAATTCTATCCACTGTCCTATCTCTAAATAAATGAATGAAAGCCCCAAAATAAAAATAACTAATAAAATAATAAAAATAAACCTTCCTTTAATTTTTTTCAAATAGTTTTGAATGACAAGAAATTAGTTTTTAGTTAGTTTTTATCCTTATTTTTGGACGCCCTGGCAGAATTGCCCCCCCTCCTGTTTTTCATTCTTCTTCAGGATTCTGTTGCTCTTTATTACCACGTGTGAAAGCAAAACGCCTTCGTAGAAATTAGTTGTTGTTTTTTTGCTTGGACTAAATTGTTCCCCCTAAATTTGCCTCCCTATCTTTACTGCCTCGGTTCTTGCAGGTTTCTGAGAAACTCCTCAATTTCTCTGTCTTTATTCTTCTCCAGGGTTCCGATGCTTTTCTTACGGAAGGAAGATTTTTCAGGTATTGCTGCTGCCTTCATGTGATGCTGTGTCGACCTGTGGTAGGCTTTTTTCGATCACAGAATAAGTAATTTGCATATATCTTGTAAAGCATCTGTTTGTCTTCAGGTTCTGCAGGTTCATTTTTGAGCAGTTTCTGAAATATCTGCTCAGCTTTGGCCTTGCTGTGATGTGACTTTGCATAGATAGTTGCGAGGTCTATTTCCCTTTTGAGTGAAGAGTGAGGGTAAAGAGAGAGCAGCTCCTCGTGGAGAGCGATTGCTCTGTCCACCATGCTTTGTTCTGGGGAACTACTGCTTTTATAAATGATCCTCCATCTGTAGCAGAGTGCAACAAATTTCTTCAGATAACGCACATCTGGATGTTCTTTCAGAACTTTCTCTGCCAAATCAACGGCCTCATCAACGGCCTCATCAACGGCCTCATCAACTGATATGTATTTTATGTAAAGTTTAGTAAGGCCACATGCCACTGCCACTGCAGCACAGAGTGCTCACATTTCCAGCCAACTCACGGACTTCATCTCAAATGTTTTCTCCTTCATCAGCACGTTGTTCAAGGTAGAGCGCAGCGAGGTACAAGTTCTCTGGATCCCGTTCCTTGGCTTGTCTCATTTTCTCCAAGAGGTCAGGGTCCAGCCTTGTGTCACTGAAGTTTTGGACCTTCTTTAACCATATAACATAGCTGGTGTTCCAATCCACCATGTCCGGCTGCATCCTGGCAGCTTTCTCGTAGTAATCAACAACCAGCTTCTTATCCTCTCCGAAGAACATCAGGGTCCAGGCCTTTTCAGCGCAGATCTCTGGATGGAGGTCGTCCTGGATGGAGATGGGTATTTTTCCATCAGGCATCAACCTTTGACAGGTAAGCCTGACTCTCCTCTAGATCTTCCAGGTGGTGGTGCAGCCAGGCTAGGTTCCCGTAGTTCACCACTAACCAAGCACCCTCATCTGGTTGACCGTTAGAAAACGGTGTGCGTACACTCACGTCACGTCCGGTTGAGTGTACGCTGGCGCGTTTAGCTGCCGCTGCTCTCCGGTTCCTCTGACTGTTTTGCTGATCTACAGACCTTTTTGCATTTGTTGTATTCTTCCCTGACATACTTCCAAATGATCAGATTACCCGGTGAGTTAATTTGGATTGGTAGCCTATTAGCTTACCTGTTGCGTGCAGGGCTCCCACTCCTCACCTGGGCTGCTTCTGCTGCCGGAGCCCTTATCCAGTCCATTATCGGCAACAACAATGTGGATTAATAAAATGTTTGTATGGTCCGTGCTCGTCTGGACTGCCCTGTCGTTGGTCCTCAACCCAACGGCAGCGGTACTCCATTACACAGCCGCTGAGCTCCTGCAACTACGCTTCCACCTGTCCGATCCTCCACCGGCTTTGCATCTCTACCTGGACATCGCTCGTCATGCCCGTCGGAAATATATCCACCGTGGTTCCCGACGGGGCTTTCAAATTGACGACTCCACACCAATACAATCCATCTGGTCCTCATCTCGCCAACCCCGAAGAAACTCCAGCCGGAAAGTTGACCACACTGTCCTAGCCAGCCTAGCCAGGTCGGCTAACGTCAGGGTCAAACACGACCACAACGATGTCAACTTCGGATTATTTAACACCCGCTCTCTTACCAGCAAAGGTCCTCTCCTCCAGGAGCTCCTGGTTGACTGTAAGATTGATTTTTGTGTTTAACCGAAACATGGCAACAACCTAATGACTTTTCACAGCTGAATGAAAGTACCCCTCCAGGGTTTGTTTACATCTGTCAACCCCGTGCCTCTGGCAGAGGGGGAGGTCTCGCGATAGTTTACCGCGAGAATTGGAAAGTGTCGCCTGTTTCTGTCCCTGTTCAGTTGTCTTTTGAATCTACACAACTGAATGGCCTACACCTACCATAGTGGCCACTGTCTATCGTCCACCAAAGTCCAATATGATTTCTTGAATGAATTTGCTTCATTTTTAACTCATCTGTGCTCACTCTCCCCTAACATAATATTGCTGTGAGATTTTAATATACATATGGATAAAACTAACAATGCCTTGACGAAGGACTTTACATCCTGCCTTGACAGCTTTGGATTGCAGCAACATATTGATTTTCCTACACACTCCAAAGGACATATCTTGACTTAATCTGCTGCTCTGGTGTCACTCCTCTTGACTGCGCTGCAGATGTCCTTCCATTTCTGATCACATGTTAATATCTTTCAATGTCAAACTTACACTATCCAAAATATCTGCCACGGGTCATTTCATATCGCAACATCAAGGACATTAACTTAACTGCTCTCTCCAGTGGCATTGACAACCTCCCCAGCATAAACTGTTTATCCACCCCGATG